GAGCACTGTTTTATACTGGAAATTGACACCTATAATCAAACAGGAGAGATGGATGCTGTAAAAAATGCAATTTTTCAATGATTCTTGTAATTAATCCTTTTGTATTGACAGTTTCCAGGAGCTGTGTTGCCAGGAGTGGTCTTTATCTCTGGACAATTAAGCAACTGGCTTAAAAAAAAAAAAAAGCAGTTTTCAGAAAATGCCATGTGACATTTTAAAATAAATGGATCTGGATTGTTTTCTTACTTTGATTTTTTTGCTTTGATTAATACCCCCAGATATGCTTTGTTTTGGATAATCTTTGCCTGCTTTGACTGCTAGCATCCATTATAGGGGACTGTAGCCATGCATGAGCCCACATGTGAATCTCTTGCTAGCATCCTTGAAGGTATTGTACAAAAATGGTGTTCAGAAGTTGGGTCTTCCTCCTGGTAATAGTGTGACTGCATTTTTCCTGAGCCTTGCCTCCCTATGGAAATTAACTCGGAAATTGTCAGAGTTTAGCTCCTCTAAGATTTCTTGCTATTTGTTTTCAGTGTAACTGTTGCTGGCATGTCTCTAATACTAAATGAACTTTTCATCATTGTAATGAGTCCTGCTTCCTCTCTCCCCTGGACCATGATATCTCTTTTGTGTCATCTCGGTGTAAATTATTTGGGGTTATTTTTATTGTGTTATCTCATTTGAAAGGGTAGAGCTCGTTCATTTTTAGCTGCCCTGTTATGAACAAATACACTGGTTATGTAAGCGGACCTAGAAAATAAAGAGCAGGGGATGTCAGGGAAGTCTGTCTATAAATATGCTGCATAACCAAACTTTGCTAAATGAAGCACTTACAATTCACTTACAAGTGAAATAAAGCAGTTGCTGCTGAATGCATACTTTAAAGACAAGTCTTATAATGTTCTTCATTTGTTGAGGTTTCTTTGCATTAATTAAAAATGGTAAAAACCAAAGTATTTTAATGTGACCTTCATTTGGCATTTGTTTTAACTTTTCTTCTCCTATTTTATTTAATTCTTCCACTTCTGTTGTTCAATTAGTGTTTGACCCCTTTAGCAGAGATGTAAATTAAATGACATTTCAATGCCATCCCATATTTAAAATACTGTGTTAGTTGTGGATCATAAAGGATGATCTTCGTTCTTTAGCTAATTTATTCATTTAACAATTTCCCTCCAGAAGTTCCAGCAGAAGGCTCTGAAGCAAACTAAGCAGAAGAAATCCAAGTCGGCTGAATTTCTGATGGGTGAGCCTTGCTTGATGAGTTATTGCTCATAATTTGTGTAAGGATTAATTAACTAATTACAGACAAATGGCTGTGGGCGAAATTTTGCTCTTGCTTGTCAGGGTGCAATTTGTAATTATTTTAATCATTTATTCTTTTTTTTTTTTTTAGAGTTAATTTTAACCTAATTCTGTTTTGGCGACATTTGAGGACGATACACTTGAGTCTTTCAGCAAAGGAATTACTAGAAGGAATTTTCTGCTTGTCATTGAAATACACTTTGCTATAATGTGCTCTTCTGACCTCCTTGTTTTCTATAGTAAAAGAAGAGAGAGCAGCAGCAGAAGGCATTGAAAATCCAGCTTTTAACATCAGCAGCACAGATCTTTCAGCATATCAGACTTCAGAAGAGAAAGTTATTAGACATGACAAGCTAGATAGCACCCTTGCAGCTCACCAACAAAAACCCAGGCTGCAAGCCCATGCTGAACCAAGAGGTGAGACATCAGACTTGATTAGCCTCAGACGGAGTGACAGCGGTTGCGCTCAGGATCTAGCCTGCGCGCGCTGTGGCCTGCGCCGGGCGTTGCACCTTCGCATGTCCACACACAGGCTCTCTTGGAAACCCGGGGCGGAAGACGCAAAAATAGCGCTGAAAACGGGCAATCTCTAAATACTTAGAGAGGCGTTCGCCACCTTCATGCTCAAGCGGCTTCCTTTAACAGGGGCGCAGGTTGCGTGGCGCTCCGAGGCTGAATTTGGGAGGCGCTGCTGCCACTTTGGGGGCACAGATGCTGCTCCGTTTTTGGCTCCTGAGTGCTGAGTGGTTTTAAGCAGCACTCAAACCCGTGATTGATTGTTATCCTTAAAGCTCCCGTATGCCCTCAATCAACCAGCATCTTGCCTCTGCTTCATGTTTCATTATTTTTGCAGACAGTTGTGCTCAGATACTTACAGCTGGGGTTGTCTAGAAGAGCTACCCTGGTCCCCTGCACAACCTGGCTGTTAAGCTCAGAGTTGATGCTGTGCCCAAAAGAGAAATGACCTCAGGAAGCAGCCCCAGTTTATCATTTAGGTTAACTCAAATGAGCTATGAGGGTCTTCACTGATGACAGTTTTCCTACGGTAGAGATTTGGTACTTTTTAACCTATTGTTTAATTGTTATAGTTTGAATTATTATTAATGGTGGATGTTAGGAGAAATGGTTATGTTTACTTAGTGATCTGGTGCGAAAGGGCAAGGAAAAGAATTTCAAGGCATCTCATGAGATACATGGGGAAAATCATGGGCCAAGATTTAAAATAAAAGTAAAAATGCCTGAAGTCAGATGCAAAGTCTTCTCCAAATACCTATCAAAAATATTACTGTACTGGACTGTGGGGTCTCACTAGCTTCACATGGACTATGTGCATCCGTGAATGTGTAGAGGTGCACAAAGGCCCAAGACCTCCCGAGGTACCAAAGTAAATGGTTTGATTTTTAAAAGTCCTAATCACCCAGCAGTTTCCATTAAACTCAGAAGCAGAGGTGTCACTCGCTAAATATCCCCGTGTACCAGGCCGGGTACTTAAATGCAGAAATACAGACTGGCGAGCAGAACTTTAGGCATTCACTTGTACAACTGTGGACCTTGTTGTGCGTCTGATCCTTGCAGTCTCTGACTCCTAATGGCCCCTTGCAAAATTAGGTTTATCGTTCCATTTAGCCTTCACGTGACTCTGTGTAGTGGTACACGGAGCAGGAATTCTCTGTCTTTCCTTTGTAGCCTGTCAGAACAGTGATTAAGCAGACAAAGGGATTGATTGTGTTTTAATGAAATAGTCTATCTGGCAAAAAATGAAGTTAGGCTTGCTGGAGACTATCCATGCTTTCAGTCTCCTCTTCAGAAATTCATGAATAGTTCCCCCAAGAAAACAACACATTTTTTTGAAAGGCTGAAATGTGTTTTTGAACATTTTGATTTTTCATTCTAAGTAGCAGTTTGTTTAAAAAAATTAACTGAATATTATCTTTGGGAAAGGAGTAAAAATTGTTTCATTTCGTCTGGAGTGTGATACTTTGATACACAGCTAAATGTTTTGTAGTGGGAGAAGAAGGCTTGCTAAGATTTGGAAATTTTGTTTCTCTACACTGTGCCTCCCTCCTTGACTTTCTGTTCGTCCAGTAATCCAAAAGATCAGTCGTTCTCATGGCTTTGCCTCTAAGTCACACAGCCATTAAAAAAAAAAAACAAAAAACACCATGCGATTATACCGGTAGAATCATAGGAAGGTCTAGTTTGGAGGACACCTCTGGAGATCGTCTGGTCCAGCCTTGCATTAAATTATTCTTAGCCTAACTCTTACGTCAGGACTTGTTTGGCAGTCATGGGGGCCAGTTCAAATTTATAAACGGCTGCTAATAAAACAACAGCTTCAAGCCTGTCCAGAAACCTGGGAAAAATTGAACTAAACCTTATGGTACCTAATGAGCTAATTTTTCCAATTCCCAAGTGTAATAATACTTCATTAAAGAGAGAAAAGGAAAAGCCAGCCACATAGATAAGCGTAGGAGCGCACAATTGCAGTAACGTACAACTGATGGTGTTTCGGTCCTCGATGCGGACGAGGCCCTTCTTGCTGCAACCTCTCTCTCGTGGTTTGGCACAGATGGCCGAAGCGCAGGGGTTGGATTCCCGGCGCCTTCGTTCCTTCGCCTCCATCCGTCCTTGCAGCCACTTTGCGTAGCGGCTGCTATTTCAGCTCTCAGCAAAAATATACAACATAGCGCTGGAAACTACCACTGTCCGCCAGCACGTGGGACACTCTCACACAGCTTCTCTTCTTCTACCCACAGCGCTCGGGAGCTGCTGTGCTGTTAGCAAGAGAGGTTTTAGCACAGAAGTCTCCTCCTTCCCCCCTCACCCCGCCACCCCGGAGGTAAGATTTGGACCCCACACTGGAAGCTATTGCTCTAGGAGCGGGGTTCGCACACACAGGCACAGCTTGTTGCCCCAAACTTTGATATGCTAGTGAAATGACAGTCTTTTTTCTGCTTCTTGCCAGGCCTTCTTACCTTAAGGGAAACGCCAGCCAAGCATAACAGCATAGGCTGCATAAAATAAACATGTTTCAGGTCCCTCCACTGTTCCCTTTCGCTTTTCTCCCCTTTTCTTCTCCAGGTGCCAACAGATTACTCCTCCTTTTGGGGTTTCCTCCCTTCCAAAACCTTTGGACTCTCTCCTAGCTCTTAGTCCCCAGGCTTGCTTTAGGTTACTTACTCAGTGAAGAACTGCATTAATCAATTCTAATGCTAGGTGCTAAACTGTATAATTTAAAATCAGTTATAACCTTAAGCACAATTGTTTAATCGCAGTGTTTAGCAGATTACAGGTTCAAAGCACTATATAAACACCAGGCTGGATTTTCAGGCTATGCACTTGAAAGCGGAGCATAGAGATGGCGTTGCTTTTCTGTTATCTTTCCACCAATCGCCTCTGTCTTTAATGGCAGCAAATAATAGCTGCAGGGGTGCTATCATTTCCTCCACCTTGCAAGAGTGTCACAGCCTGCTCCTCTGTCAGCAATTGCTGGAAGAAAGTGCTCTCTAGCCAAACATCTTTCTGTTTTTGAGATCCTTCTCATGCACCTCCATGCTAAGGAGATTGGAAAGGAGTGGAAATAGGCGGTCATGTGTTCAGGTCTGCCTTAAAGCCTGTTCCTGAAATTTGGCTATGGTTGCACAGGAGAGCGCTGTGTAGAACACAGATTATTTAGGGATGAAATAGCCAGTGCTGAGATTCATGATGTTGCAACTAGCCTGCATCTGGGGCTTAAGTAATGTAATCCCCAGCTAGGTTTGCACTGTATTGACTTTTCATGCTGTCTGTTCCTTTTCCTTGGATAGCAGAACTTCTCCTGAAAAAGAGAGATTATTTAACTGATTCATGTCTTCAATAACAGATTAAATCTATCCAGTATGTTTTTCATGGAGTCTTTTTCCACCTTTCAGATTGGATCAGTGGGGATTTTCTCGTGATGCAAAGTGCTCCTGTACCCTTTGCTGGGGGGGAAATTGAGGCAGACCATGAGGCCACGTCTGCAGTTACCCTGTGATGGAAATGGGAATAAAAATCTCTGATCCCTAGTCTGTTGCTCTCTTTGTTAGGCCATAGATCTCACACAGTGTTATTCCGTATTATTATGGGCAGTAGTCCACATTTTAGCATCATCAGTAGACCTGGTGAGCTACTCCTGAGGGTTCAGCGACGGACTACTGGGTGACTTTTTCTGCTGTATGCGCTCAATCATTGCTCTTTTATGACAAAGTTCTGGTACTGCTATTAAATCACATGGTGACTCAAGGGAACTGGCTGACTATTTATTCAGATTAATCTCCTGATCTTCAGCCAGCTAATTGGTTGCAGCAGGTCCTACTCTATTTTCTTTTTGTGATTCCTACGCTGACTCTTTGCTGATCACTCTTGATCTCTGATCAGTTTCTTCTGTGGAGCATCAGCTCTAAACAGGAAAGAAGGACATTTTTAATCTGTTGCTAATTTCCACACATTTTTCACTCAGCTGGTACCTCTGCTTTTAGAAATACTATCACATAAAGCATTTATTTTTATTACAACAGGAATATCACCTTTATTTCCATCTCATACCCTTTGTGAAATTAAGGTCCTCTCATAATGATCTTCTCATCTTTGCCAAATTACACAATTTACTTGTTTCTGAAAATACCCAGAGGTGGAGGTTCTTTGTGACTAAATCCAACCAAGTCTTACCCTTCCTTCTCCTCAGCAAATATTGAACTTGCTAGAAATTTTCATGTTGGCCGTCCTAAGGGGAGGTGAAATTTGCCAACAAATTTCACTGGGAAAAACATTTGGGGTTAGAGATCACCCAGACCTGCTGTGACAGGGACAGGGACCTATATCCACCTGTTTCCCAATTGCCAAGGGCTTAGTGCTCTCCCCTGATCTAAAGGTGAGCCAGTAGCTGCTTTTCTCTTATTTTATGAGGGTTTTAAACCCACAGCTTTTTGAAGAGTACCTTAATATCCAGACTGGTTCAGTAAAGTCTCTGCCCAGGAAAGGGTTTCCAGCAAGCTGTCCTTACTCAAGCACCAAATCTCCAGGAATACGCTATTGTTGGCTGAAAGCAGAATATGGGGCCAGTTACTCAAACTCAGATGGATGACACATGTCACAAACAGGGCCTTAACAAAGGCCTGCTGTGCTTGTTTTCTTATAGGCCTGCAATGCAAATGTTAATCTGCTTTGGAGTTTATATACATTTTGTCCTCAGTTATTGTGAGCGGGTAATGTGCCAGCTGGCTTATGCCAGTTCATGCTACTTAGTGTATACCACAGTCACATAACTATACAAATTTGGTCCAACTAATCCTGAAAAGAATCCTGTGGGATAGTACCGTGCACATTTTTGCAAGACAGGTAAATTACCAGCCCAAGCATGCAGAGGGAATATGTGTCAGAACAAATTAGGATGTGAT